TACAAAAATATTCTAAATATTTTTAATATTTGATATTGCACTACTTATTTAATTTGATATTAAATGCTCTGGACTTCTTCAAAATTAACTTATTAAATTCCAATCATTTTGTAAGATGTCATATATATATATCATATCTTTTAAAATTGTAATTAGGAAAGAAAATTCAAAAATTTGTCAAAAATATTCCTTTTTCTTATTTTTTTAGGTGATGTTAACAATGTCATAAAATTTTAAAAATTTGTATTATAATAATATCATTAAAATAGATTTGATTAAATCACTAAAATGTCTTTTCTGCTTTTATTTTGTATAATAGATTATTATATATTTGTATGATACTTATTATGGCATTTATTTAATGCTTTAATAAAAATTATTAAATGTACCGCAAATTATTATTATATATTTTATTAATTCAATTATTATAATTCATTTTATTAAGTCTCGTAAATACAACATTTTATTACATTAATAAAATCCAATAGTTTTTAAAAAATGTTTTTGACAGCATTTATACTTATTTTAATAAACGTTTCAATAAATGTTAATAAAAACTTTTTACTTTTTGATTCTTAATGAATTAACGAGCACTGGAAAAAAATATTTAAAACATTATCACAAAATATTTCAATGTTTCCAATTTCCAACAAATATTAAATTTTTATAAATTTAACGTAACAAATTTATATTTTACATAATTATTCATACTCGCTGTATCTGACGAGCAAAAACATCTATGAATAAAATAGTGCCTTCTTAATTGTATCAAGACTGGAATGCATTAGTTATATAAAAAGAAAAAAAATAGATGTTCTAAGAAAGCTTCTTTTTTGATTTCATTCACTTTAATGACTCGTGAAAAATATTTCTTATAAGTAAAAATACTGCTCATGTTTATACACTTATGAAAAATTTGAATATGTACAAAATTTTGTTTTAATAGAAATTATTGCATTAATAAAAAATAAGAAAACAAAACGAATAATTAAAATAATAAGAGAAATCACGTGCTATAGTCATAATACGTCACCATTTAGAAAAAATAAAACAAATCTCTTCATTCAATCTTCATTTTTTAATCGTGTTTATAACAAAAATTTATTTTTGCACAAATATTCGTAGTTTATATACGTATAATGAGATAGAAAAAAGTTTAATTTTACATAACTTCAATTTTTAAAGACATATGCGTGTCTCAAGAAATGAAATTTTAATTTTTCAGAAATTAAAGAATATACAGAATCGAACGATACTTTTCTATTTACGCTTTCCTTACTTTTCATATATTAAATCCAACAACAAAATTTATCAACTTTAAAAAAATTAGAAATCTTTTGCTTAAAAATATACTGACATATCGTAACATATTTCTCAAAAATTGTAATTTCAAGAATGGATGGAGATAACTGCACGACAATTAAACAAGCAGAATTTCGCGTTGACTCGAACACTTGAAATCTTAATCGAATTACCAACTATCGGTAAACGTCACAAAGAGTCGAAGAATAATTAAAGACCGCGGCGTCGAGTCGAAATAGTTGCGAATTTCGTTCTTCGAATTCCAATTTCCATTAAGCTCCCTTAATTATTGCGTCGACGCAGTTCGTTTCGATAAAATTGCGCGCGCGATCCTCCTCTTTAATGAACAAAAACGAGCCATATTAAAAGCACGTTAAGGAATCAAGGAACGAAATCATCGGTTTTCGATTACAGAAATTGACGGCGAATATCGCACAGTTGCAAGAAATATCGAGTACTAACAAGTGCTTATAAACCAGACTCTTTCGAGCTTCCTTTAATAAATAAATATTATCGATGTTTGTTGAAGAAAAAATTTGCTTCCTTTCGCAAAAATTTATTTAAATTTTCCTCGTTTAACGCTTCACGGCGATGAAACGAGGAAACTTTTAAAAGACGGAGAATGTAAAAAGTTTTCAACTTCGATTGTACAAGCCACTCGAATGTTTTCAGCAATTTAGATAGAAATATTGGCACTCGTTTAAGCGGATACTTAAACGAGTGCCAATATACAACTTAAAAACGTGAAATTCGAGTTATTTTTTTTTTTTACACTTTAGGTATACTTTAAGATAAATTTTAGTTTTGCTTTCGATTGATCGTTAATTATTAAATATATACGTGTATTGTTAAGAATTGTCGCTGAGAACATATTCAATTAAATTCATTTTAAATTATAAGTAACAATATTTTCTTAAAAAAATGTTATTTTCAAAGAGATTCATTGGAAAAAAGATTGTGAAAAAGAAACCAGAGATTAATAGGAATATAATAAAGAGAAATCTCATTTTACATTCTGATTGTTGCATTGATCATCAATCAATTATAATAATCAAGTGTGTCGAAAAATTGATTCAATAAAAAAACTTAAAACTGTTTACATAACAGACTTTCATACAGAATGTTCAATTACAAATATTAAACAAAAGTTCCTTAAGTCAAGTTTTTAAATCTTTTTTTTTTTTAAATATTGCTAATAAACACGAACACTTTAATCAATCTTAATAATCAAACACTAAACAAGCTTGAATTTCTTAAGTCTTGATTTTGATTATTAACTCTTATTTTAATTGAAACAATCATTAAATTTTCTTTATATTCATGCCATATACTTCTACGTAATTATTACCAACATAACCTCTATTATATGAATTTATGTAATAATTTCACAATTTTTTCTATATTCGAAAAAGTTCCAAATTTCAACGTTTTGGAAAGGCCTTTTTCGAACAAAAGTATTCATCCTGCCGTAAATTTGTAAATCGAACAAATCCAATTCTATCCTTCATTGACAATAAGGTCCCTTTATTGTATCCCATCTCTCCCCTGAATGGGAGACATCAATCCCGTTGAATTTGCGGGAAATTAAATGGAAATCTGCGGTCATCAATTAATGAGAAATACCCAAGAATTTAATTCGAATGAGCGAGCTCGTCTATAATAATTGTTTAGCGCGTGCATTGCGTTTTCACGATTAAAACAAAAATTGATTAACGCGAGACAGGGAGCGATATCATGCGAATTCTCGCGTTTCTGTGAGTGAAAACATTTTATAGATTATGAAAATCACAGTTCAATTCAATATTGTTTAATTTTACATTTTATCTCGCGCTTATTGTAAATTTGCATTAATCGTTCTTTAATGCTAAAACATCCTTTAATGATATTATTGGGAAATATAAATGGAAAATATAAAAAAAATTGCAGGATAGAGAAGAGAAAAAAAAAAATTATGATTGTTTTCTAATAATGAAAGAAACTTGCCTCTAATATTTCAGATTAATGTGTGAGAAATAGTTTCTATTAAATAGTGTACATTTATATAAATCTATGTATATGCATATATAATAAATATATTCTATTATATTATATCAATCATAATATTTCTTCTATTTAATTCTGTAATTAATTAATATTAGTTTTATCTAATATTATGTTTTCTTTATTAATATTAGTATTACTATTAATTTTATACTTAATAATTTATTACTGTTTTGAAATTTGAATAATGAATAATGAATAAACAATTAGGATAAAAAATTGGATAATTAAAATTAATATTAAAAATTTTTGTGAAATAATAATTTTCTTCCTGTATCAAATCTATTTTATTAAAATAGAAGAAATATCATTTTTTGAAAACGAAAATTGAATTATTGATCAAGAATTCACAAAATCAGTGAAAATAATTTTTAAATGCTGCATCTCAAAGAACAATTTATTGATCAAATTCAAAAAAACCGCTTGTTCGCTATTAAAAGTTTTAAATAGCGAAAAAAAATTTTGCCTGTGTGTTTCGTTCCATTCCGTTATATTTCATTCTGTGTACGTTGGAATTACTCAAATTTGACGATAATTTGTTTAATGAAACGTGAATAAACTGAGATAAGTATCCTCGCCAGATCAATCAGACGACAAACGGCGTGCAAATGTAATGCAATGTCAAGTTTTGGAGCAATTATTGTAATTATTCTAATTAGAGAATAAATAATTACAATTATAAATATTAAAAATAAATTTTGCTATTTTGTACTCTTATCTTAATTTAACAAATTCTTAAATTAAAAAATTCTATTATTTTGAAACAGTTTTAAAATTGTACGCATAATTTTTGAAAAATATTTATTTTTTACGAAGAAAACTTGCTTCTTTTTCGAAAAAATTTTTCACACGAATTCTATTTTTCAAAATAGTTCAAAATTTGCAATCAAATCATTTTTTATAAAAAAAAACGAAAAATCATTATTATTTTACAAGACAGATAAAACTATATATATTACAACGATTATTTTTAAGGAGAAACGAAAAATTAACTGAACGAAGAATTTTTAGTAAGAAAATTTTTAAATTTATAAAGATTGAAATTCATTCGATTAATATTCGATTTGCTTATTCATCCAATATTCAAATCTGTCGTATTCTAACACTATATAAAAGTATCATTTTTTTAAATATTTATAAAAAAATTCAAAGTCAATGATATTTGCAATATATTCTTATTTAATCATCAGACTGCATCAATCATTCGGTTAATACTTGGACGAATGACTTGAGAATACCATTAGATGTTAAAAACAACACTATTTGTTATCAAACAATTCAACCGAATTCATTTTAAATTCCCTGATTAATGACAATTACACTCAATATCGAATGTACAGAAACAAATAATAGTACAATCTATAAAGGAAATCTAATCTATCAATCATTTGAACTCGCTCACTTCACGCACGATCTATCCTAGCTCCATCGCTAAATCTCGAGTCGAGTCAAGTTATCTCTTTCAACGAGAAAAGAACGAAAGAAATACGCGGTGGAAAGAAATATAAAGACATCTACGTAAGGAAAAAAGGAGGTCGAGAAACGAACAAGGGAACAAAGAGGGAGGACGCGTTTTACCTGCGTTATACATGCAGGTAAGCTGGAATACAAATTTCGCAACGGTTCGTTAGAGACAAGAAAAGAGGTTATGTCCGTACCTTGAGAGCGGGCCACGCTTCGTTACTCATCCGTCGAGTGGTCCTGAAACAAAAACGGCAACGGATGCAATTAGACACAATGCTTCTACCTTATCCCCACGTATATGTGTACATATAACACGTGTACATGTACGTGTGTATTACGCGTGATTATAGAAGACAGACTTGGGATACGAAGGAAGAAGGAGAGAGAGAGAGAGACTCCTCCTGTTCCAAGTCGGATTTCCTATTGAATTTAGTCCGAGCTCACGAGAGATTCGTAATATTATATCACAGTCTATCCTCATTTGCGCACTCCCGAGGAATCCATTTCCGACTTTTCTTCGCTCGCAGTTTGTGGTGCCGCTTTGGGGCTCACCCCCCCCCCTCCCTAGTCCTGCTCTGACCTCAGACGAGATCTCGTTTGTCACGGTTTGTTGTTTTTGCGCATTTTTCAATTCGTACGTATCTACGTCCAAAGAAGGAAAATACGAGTAAAAAGCCTCGTGATATAACTCGTGTTTAATACAATTAAGACATGTTTAGGTATATATTGATGAATAATTCGTTTGTGAGTAAGTGCGTCCTCTTTTGTCCTCTGTAAATATATTCATGTATTTATGTCGATAATTGATTGATTTAAAAAATATTTTTAGTATGTAAAAAACGAGAAAAGAGTAAAGTTTCTTCAATGATGCATCATAATTAGACTATTTACTTTTGCCATATTTCATTTTATCTTATTATATTAATATGAAATTTGGCAAAGTATTTAATATAGTACTTAATTATTATAACAAATTGAGGAAAATACTTTTGTGTTATCAAGTAAATACTCTAGGAATAAAATAAATTATGTTGGATTGTTTAAAAAAAACTAAAAATAATTATAAAATAAAAAATAATTGATATAACTATATATATATATATCTATTTATATATAAACATAACCTACAAATATTGAATTATTTAAGTCAACATTGTAATTTGATCAAATTCAATCATGAATATTCATCTCGCTTCCTTCAATTGCTTATAATTTATAATAAATAAATAAATAACCAGTCAACATTTTTGTACAGTAATTTTTACAGCGATGTTTTACTAATATAAATCTTGTCTGAACATTTTATAAAAATCCAATTTTTGAAGAAATTGAAAAATCGACGAACCAAAAGTATTTTTCGATATTAAATATTACAAATTGCACGCATTCTCAGATCGCAATTAATTTATTAAAGTAAATTCGTTGACACCAATAAAAATGCAACGAACGAACACACGTTCCTTTCAAAAACTTTGATAACTTTCCCTTTGACTATTGCAATCGATATTTCATTGCAAGTTCAAGAATAGCACGGGCTATTCTGTGTGAGTTCATGTGTGAGTTAGAAAGTCACTTAAGCTGGATATGGACAATGTCACGTCGACAAAACAATATGCTGTACGCATACAATGCCCCTCGAAGTTGACTAACAATGAACTGCACATCGATGCAACACCCCATCCAAGAAACTTTTCGCGTTATAAAACGCTGCGTGTGGAGCTGTATCCACTTGTATCGCATACGAAATTCACCGCAAGGATCAGAGACGATTTTCGGCCAAGCTTTGATAATGATCTCTAAAAGGAATGGTGAGGAAGGATGGACTCCAGGTGGATTCCATTCTCCTTCTAAAAGGGCAATCTCGCTTCCCCGGAGCGAAGTTTCTTGACAAAAAGTTGAAACGCGTCGAGTCCCTTGTCGTGGACAGGATTTTCGAGCCGAGAGACCCCACCCTCTTTTTGAGCGATCCGCACGTTACCATTCGTTGGAAGCTAGAGCTACTCTTTTGCACCATTTTCACGCTTCCAAATCAATTTTACGCTTCCTTTTCTTCTTCTTTTCCCACTTCACGCTGTTTTGAAGCAGCCAAGTAATTGTTGTTAAAAATACCACGCCAGTCGGACGTTTCGTGAAACTTTATTTATTTATTTCATTATTTCGTTCGTTAATGTCGTTTTCGATGCGATTTTTCATAGAATATAGCACATTTATAGCGGTGTCTTTTTTGTAATAATACTTCGCTACAATAATTATCGAATATAGACTTTTTCACTTCTTTCTGTTTCCAAAGATGAACAGAATTATAAATATTTCGAGAATATAAAATGATGGCGATAGATAAGTATGTCATATTTGATAGAACTATATTATTTGTAAGAGATTTGTATTGATTATTGTGCCTTGATGTAATCATACCATCTTAAATTATACATTATTCTAACTATTAATATATTCGATTAAACATTTAGTTTTATTCAATTCTAAAAATAATCATTTAAATTTGTGATTCGAAAGATATGATTTTGCTCAATCACGAATTAAAAGTTTATGAATAAATTTTATCGATTCCAATAATAAGAGAACATTAATTTATACTGTGAATGAATTAAAGAAAAATGTTAATTTTAATGAAAATTCTGGAAATGAAATTAAATTGAATGGACGAAATATTTTCTTGCAACAAATAAAAATCCCGGAAATATTTTAATCAAACCTGGTAAATTCTCTCGACCCGGCTACGAGATTTCTTCGTTCAGGATCCCTAATGAGCCTCGGTTTTTGGGTCACACGTCCCCTTTCAAACTTACTGCGCATACGTCTTCCCGCAATTTCCTCCAACCTTTGTGCATTCGAATCTTTCAACTCGGCGTGCTTCTAGAACTCTATCCACTCGGGGGAATGGGAACGAGACAAAGAACTTAAAACTTCGGAATAAAGTCGGATATTGATCCGCCTCGTGACTTTTTTGCGGGAGCATGGCTTCTTTCCAGAAGATACCATAATGCATTCTCGAAGAATGGTAATGTAAATACGACATTGTTCGCCTTTGAAATTAAACTCGAAACATAGTTAAAATGAAGAGACGAAGAAAGAATGTTTCAAGCAATTGAATCTATGTTTCCTTTATTTAAAGTGATTTTAACATTTCAAGATACACCAAATTTTATATTATAGCGCATCTTACTTCAAATTCATCGATTTGATTTTTGTCGTTATTCTTATTTCAAGCTTATACAGAGACAAAGCACGAACAATTGTTTTCTTTTCCTTTGTATTTTATATCATAAGTTTTATAAAATTACAAGAAGCTCATATTAAAATATTTCTTAGATTAATGATATTTGAGCATACTTTTTTATGGAAAATGTCGAGCAAATAATAGGTTAAAAAATATTTGAAAAAACAAAATTGACCTTCATATGACCTTTACATATCTACTAAAAAACTTGATAACACTGGATGTACACCTTTTGAAATGATTCAAATTTCATTCAAATATTTGTATTACTATTAATAATAATAATGTATGCATGTGAATAAACAAGTAATTAAATAGCTTATACAGAGTATTCAGAAATCATATTTAGAAACTAATTGATTAAAAAAAATTCCAGTTGAAATAAAGAGATACGTGGCAAAAATAGAACTGTTCTAACTTAAATTTTATTATTTGTTTTGACCTTCAAGAAATGTCTCACAAATATATTAATATATAGTTGTATATGAGATTTGGATAAATAAGTCAGATCTTAAAATAGATCAATAGTTGATATCTCTTATGAGGATTCGAATCTATTTGATATACAATATTGCCTTCTCAGTTTGCGTCTGAGAAATCAGGTGTTTCGAAAATTCTTTCTCGATTTTACTCGCTTCATTGGTTCATAAGAAATATTTCTTACAAATGAGACAGGAAAAAGTGTTCCTCTTATATTTCATGATACATATTTTAAGTTTCTAAAACGCGTGCTTTCGAGAAGTGGAGTTCCAGAAATGGAAGGAAATCTCGAAAATTGAAAACAGTTAACCGATCACTGTTGTACTTAGCCCCGCAATCACAAGCCGCGTGGTTGATGGAAAACGTTTTCAACCGAAGAATTACTCCAGAACGAGCGTGAAACCAGCTTCCCTGTCGAATCGAAGCGAAATACCTCGATCGTTTCACCTCCCTAATCGATTCCTTGCCTCGAATTTTCATCGAGTTCACCTGTAACTTCCATCCAGTGATATTTCATCAACGTTACCGTTTTTGCATGACATCATATTTCATGTCAACGTTTGAAAAGTAACGAGATTGAGAATATAATACAGTCAACAATAATATGAAATATGTCTGAAAATATGATTTCGATGGAACACGATGGAAAAATTCTTTCATGTAACATGGCTTAATAAACTTTTAGACAATCTTCGTGTAGGATGAATGTTTCGTCACATTGTTTTCGTTGACATTCCCTCTGGCTTGTGTAGACTTTTAGATTTTGCTTAATACGAAATCGATTCAACATGCAACGAATTAATTGTGTAACTATGAGATAAAGTTGAATGTATTTAAAAATTTATGATTCATGTTTGTTGAAATCGTTAAAAACTGTTTTTGATTGAAAAATCTTTTTAAAAAGAAATAATCGTAAAGAGCCAAATTAAGTGAATACATTGGCCAAATATTACTGTCGTATTATAAAATTGATATAGCATTGTCAATTATTAAAATAAGATTATTAACAAAACGAATAGATTTTTTAGATTTAATTTATCTAATTTATTCTTAATGTTTAATGTTTAATTATCTATTTGTAATCATATTATTTTTGAAATACACGTACAATTTATTTTTAATCAAACATTTAACGCATGATTTGGTAAATATTATTTAAAAAAACATTGTTGTATTGTATATGTTTCACGACGAGGTATATTGAAATACTATCGTTTCAATCATTATGACCTACGTATTATGTTTTCTTCTTATGAAAAATTAATAAATGTATATGAATATTTAATTTTGTATGAATGTCAAAATCATCACAATTTATACAAAATAAATATTTCAAAGACTAGAAATAAAAAATCAAAATCTAATATTAATATTATTTGTTTGGTAATATTTATAATCTTTTATAATCTGACTTTTCTTGCGAATATAATTTTTAGAGATGTCAATTTTTAAATAACAAAATATTGTGAATATATAAATTTTTATTTTAAATTCTTCTCTATTCATCTATCTCTAT